GTTACCGCCTCCTCCAGTGTATCCGCCCGATCCACTGTTGTAGCCACCACCACCACCGGAATATCCACTGTTGTAGCCACCACCACCGGAATATCCACTGTTGTAGCCACCACCGCCGGAATATCCACTGTTGTAGTTACCGCCACCCGAATATCCACCACCACCATATCCTCCTCCTCCACCACCACCACCACCAAAGGCAGCACGGGGCTTCTCAGTTGCATAGCTCACCTTAATATTTCGGCCATGAAGATCCTGTAATAAAAGCGGAGTCAATTCGGTCGTCAACTATTTATTGGGACTCAATTTAGCCCCCATACATATTTGGTTCAATTCTTTATTTTATTTGATATTTTTTGGCCCATAAATCATATTTACACCCGATTTCAGAATCAATTCAACACTCATTTTTGTGGGATTTTACTGGGTACGTTGTTGGAGGCAATTGAATTCCAGGCATATGAAAACACCCTTCTTAATCAGTTGAAGAAAGATGCACAAAAGGACTAAACTGGGTCTAAATTACATAGTCGATGACCAATTTGAGTAACATAGAGTCGAAGGGCAAAATTGGATATGAAGTCAGTTGATAAGAATCACACCGAGCAACTCCAAAATACTGCCTGCAAAAGAAGCTTACGCTTTGACTTCACGGGCTTGAAGGAAGCATTGAAGTGTATGGTGGGAATTTGAGACAAAACGATGTTGCGAGTCACATATTCCTTTCTTTAAAAAAAGGAAACGCGAGAAATGAAAAGTTTACTTTGAGACAAATTGAAAAGGAAAAAAAATGTGAGAAACTTAATACATTATTACCTGCCCATCCAAGTTCTGCATGGCAGCTGATGCACTGTCACCCGAGGTAAAAGTTACGAATCCAAAGCCTCTAGATCTTCCAGTATCGCGGTCCATGATGATCCGTGCTGCAGATAATTTATATAATCTTAAGTTATTAGACGGAAAAAGAGCGTTCCAGAAATAAAATCTGAAAATATTTTACAACATTTAACAATTCTGTTACTGCAATGTCGCTTAAGCGGTAAACCAGAGTGAAAAGAGTGAATTGTGTAACGCAGCATGAAAGCATATATAGAATGGCCAACACCACACAACATCACACTCCCTTCATATTGTTCTTTCTAAACAGATTTACTGCTCAGTAATGAATAATCTCAGCACACAAAGAAAAAATGGTTGAAGTTCCAATAATTTTTTTTAAAAAAAAACATTCAGCCGGGACATTTTCAATAGTTTTCCAAAAAAAATGATTGGGTTTATTAGGAATAATACACAGTTAAAGGGCTACAAGCCGTGCATGGGATCAAACTGAGTAATAGTAGAATTAGACTGAAAATACCTTCAACCACGTCACCATACTGGTGAAATACTTCCTTCAAACTAGTTTCATCGGTTCCGTATGAGAGGCCTGCAATATGAGAAAGCAAACAACTCAAAGAAAATGTGAAATGTAACAGAGAATTCACATGTAAGGAAAAAGATACTCGAGTAATCTTTTCACCTCCAACGAAAAGCTTTGAGGATGACATGCTTCTAAATGCCTGGTACATGGATGAATTTGAAAGAGACAAATCTGGAATGGTTTGCCTGCTTAACACCTGTTTGAGCACGCTTCCAATTCTATTTGAAAGAGCCATTCCTGATCCCAGAAACGAAATTCAGACCAAACACGCATAGAGCAAGAGGTGAAACATATGACAAACCTTCGGATAGATTCAGGCACAAAGTGGAGAGTTTTTTTGCAAATTAAAGAAAAAAACTGAACAAGCAAAAGGGAGCAGACAAAGTAACACAGTAGCACCAACAAAGTAAGAGCACAAAGACAAGAAGTTCAGATACCGAAATTTGCAACTAGACCCAAAGCATATATAAAGCATCCATACACGAACTACAGACTAAATTAAACACAAACCAGCAAATACCCTACTACTATAATCCTCGGTCGGCCTCCAAACGCTCTTATTATGTCAATGTTTGGATATGAACATATAATCCTCAAACATATATCTATGAATGTGTATGCAAGAGAACATGAAATACATGTGTGTAAAATACATGTGCGACCCATGAGATAAATAAATGTTTACACTTTTGATAAAGTATGAAATGCACACTTTTATAAATGGTGTGTGACAACGCAATATAAAAAAAACATATACATAATTATGCAGTTTGTTTTAGAAAGAATCCCCGAAAGAACTTACTAACAAAAGACTAACAAAGATTTATATAGTGCAGACAATTAATTACAGCAGGAACGATAGAAATTGTTTTGTAAAAAATTCAAACCTTTTGAAATTTATCCACACCGAATGAATGGAAAGGGCAAACACTGCCCAGTGCTCTCCCTCCATAATTTGAACTAAAAAAGTTTTCTTTGTTCACACCAGCAACCAAATATCTCAGCATAAATCATTAACTTTATGTGAATCATAATCCCAATAAATTTTAACAAAAGAACCATACAAGTACAGATTATACACAGGAAGCATGATTGGTCTTATAAATAAACCTAAATCTGAAACGTCAAAACAAGATCTGTACAGAAAAAGTGTTTCAGATTTGTATCTCTGACCCTCGAACAATTCATTAACGATAAAAACAACTAATGATTCGTTTTTTTCGTAACTGGAAAACGGAAACAAGGGCACAATTTCTGTGTGAACGCATATGATAATGATGGAAGATGAAACGGAGAAGAGTGCAGATGAAGGGTAGAAAAAGAATAAGAAAGAAATACCTGGGGATTTGTTTTTTTCTGCAAATGGAAGAACGGGGGAAGTGGGTTTATGGGAGAAGACGAAGAAGAAGAGGCTAGCAGCCGAGGGGAAGCTTGGGGAAATCAAAGGAATATTTCAATGGTTTTAGGAGTAGTAGAAAGGATTGGGTCTGGGCTTTGAGTCCACATACGCAGATTTAGTGTTAGTTTAGCCTATACGGCGTATAAGTGAACCGGCCCAACAATTATTCAATACAAAAAGTAATTACAATACATAAAATAAAATTACAAAGGGAATACGAGAGAAAAAAATTACAACAAAAAATTTAAAAAAATTACTCATTTACATCTCAGTTTTTCTAAACATGCTCGACAAAATCTCCTTTAAGAATGTTATGTATTTTTCTGCTTTGGACTTCTGCGCGAATTTCATTTCTTTCGTCGTTTGAAATTTCAATTTTCGGAACGTCGACTTCCTCGTAGTTTTGGTACACCCCTTTTCCTTGTCTTCTAAAATCATGTTGTAAAGAATAATACAATCGTACATAACATCTCTAATTTTATTTTTTCCCACATAAGGCATGGGTTGCGCACGATATGTCATTTTCGTTTCAGGATACCAAATACTCTTTCAATATCCTTTCTGGCATCCTCTTGTACCTTTTTGAAATATGCTATTTTCTCATCCTCCGTACAGGGGCATGTAAATGATTTCACAAGCCTTGCGTACTCCGAATAAATGTCCTCCACAAGGTAATATCCATATTTGGAATACGTGTCATTATAAATAAAAGAAGATGGAGGTGCAACGCCATTGTAAACGTCATCAAATATTGGAGATTGATCCAGGACATTAATATCGCTACACAAACCTGCAACGCCAAAAAAACGCATGCCATATCCAGAGACGTGTGAAGACGCTTCTAGGATTAAAGTTGAACTTGAGTGATCACCGCGTTGATGTGAACTTCTCCAAGCTGTGGGACAATTTTCTTAAATCCATTGTGTACAATCAATGCTTCCAAGCATTCCACAAAAACCATGAACATGCCATAACAATTTGATTAAAAAAAGTCATAAAAGAAGTTCCGAGACCGTCAAACCGACCCATGAGCAAGTCAAACATTACATACCTGGCGTTCCTAGGTGGTTGGATATTGTTATCAAATGAATATGCAATTATGCATCTTGCATTTCCCAGCCATTAGCCCGCCGATGACCTACTAAAATTAATTTTGGGGAAAAATAAAATAAAATACTTCCACTTTGTTTTTGTCTAAGTGGACAATTGACTATTTTTGTTAGACTTTTTAAATAAAAAAATACTCCCTCCGTCGTTAAAAAATTGCCACAGTTCGACAAAATTTTTAAAAAATACTCCATCCGTCCCAAAAAGATCTTCCTGTTTCATTTTTTGCGCATCCTATAAAACACTTCTATACACATCTAAAATGCCTAAAATTTACTACATTTCTCATTTATTGTAAGTAGACGCGCAAAAAATGAAACAGGAAGATCTTTTTGGGACGTAGGGAGTATATATTTAGTTATTATATAAATTTAGCAACCAATTTGACCAAAAAAATCAAACTATATTAATTTTTTTTAGAGACGGAAGTATCTCATTATATCAAACGCATCACTTCTTGTAGTAAGGGTATGAGCTAAAACATTAGTCGAATGATGGACAAAATTAATAAAAATAAAATCAAACTCGGACATAATAGACCTGCAATCATCAAGGGACGGCCATAGAAGTGCAAGGGACTCACTCTAATTTAAGAATGAGTTAAGCATTTGACAGGTTGGTCTCGGACCTCCTGCCCTTAAAGTCCTACCCCATAGTTTTGTGGCCGTTTGGAGGACACATCAGTTTCCCTTTCCTGACGTCCTTTAAGTACAGATGACCCAAATAGAAAGACTGAACTTGTACAAATTCATCCCCCCATTTGCAATGTACGGACTGACCAATTTAGCTTCACTACACTCACTCACTCCACTCATCTCTCCTTTGACTTGGGTCAATGCTTTCGAGACTGTCTTAACGGTACAGATCAACTTTAAAGACAATAACGCTAAAAGTCGTTGTTGGTAAAGGGTTTGGTTCTCAATGTGTTTTCTTGATCCAAAAGTTTAATTTGAGTTGACAATATACTCACTCATCTTGCATGCAAAATTCTCAATAAGAAGGGTATATTTGTACATTCACTACATTCAGGCACAATCATGTTAATTACTCAATATGATCATCAACAATGTAACAATTCAGGACATCCATTTGTTGACACCCAAGAATCTTACACTAGTAAAAATGGCTTAACAAATAGTTGTACATACAAACAAACAATCACACCAAATGATGCAAAAACTTGGCTACAGATAAAAACAACATTAAACTGGGTAAGAAATTACCACACCAAATGTAACACTATATGATCACATAAAAAAATGGCAATAAAATGGTTAAGAAAAATTCTTTTACTGCCATTTCTCTGTATGTATCTGTTCCATCTTCTTCTCCATCACTTCCTGTGAGAGCCATGCAATGATTTGGGAGTTTTTTCAAACAGATCCTGCAAGTAGTTTTCAAGGTCATCAGCACTGTACTTGATATGCTTGTCACTTATATTTGACGCGTGCCGCCCCACGAACGTCCGGTACCCCTGGATCACCATCAGCGACGTGGTGATGATGAGGTCGTCGCGGAGTTGCCGGTCCGGTACGGACCACCCGGTCTGGTTCTTGTAAACCTCTTCAAACGCCAGGTAGAAGCTGTGCAGACGTTCTTTGAGGAGAGTTCTGGAGACGGAATTGGACCCGGGATCCAGAATCCCTTCGTCCCGGATCAGATACAGTATGGAGCTCCAAGTCGCTCTCTCGTAGCTCCTCGCGTGCTTCTGGAACTTCCCGTTGCACTTCCGAATCCAGTTGTCCCCTAGAACTGTTCTTAGCTCTGAGCTCTTCTTCACCTTCTCCGCAATGTAATGGAGATTGTTCATCAAGAAGAGGTGTTTCAGAGCTTCATCTTTGTACATCTTTGACCTGGACTCCAAGTTTGATTCCAGAGTTGAAATGAAGGACTGGAAGTGGGAAGCCATTGAGGAACTATACGGGCTTCCACGGATGACATCATCTTCGCTCGACGGGCTCGTGTCGGGCGAATACGTTACTGGATCCTCCCGTTCTTCGTCCTTGAGAAGCCCGCTAAGGATCCTACTGTAATCCATGAGGGCCCTCATGTAGTTCATCACATACTTTGTGATGGGATGGACCCCGCCGCCGGGGAAGGCATTCGCGGACGCGTTGGACGCAACGGCATTTTCGAATTCAAGAAATGTGGATTTCGCGCAAGTACCCAAACTCGCGAGGACGTGGCGACACTCGGTCCTCAAGCACAACCCAGCATCGTCGAAGTACAAGGAATCGATCTCGGGTATGAGGTCTGTTAGCACCTCGTACATGTCCAGGACCCGAATAAGCCTTTCGGGCTTTTTTGGGCCGATAGACACCGCCTCGCCAAAATTCAGGAGCTGCAGGAGCGAGGTTTTCGACGACTCTGCGAAGCAGACGGAGCCTGCGGAGCCGGTCTCGCTGAATATCTGATCGGCGAGCCATTTCTCGCTGGCGAGGTAGATTCGCACGAAGATCTTGAACGCCCGGACCCACCTCCTCATCTTGGAGTTCAACGAGCTCCATTCCATCCTCTGCACGTCCTCAATGCTCAGCTGCTCAACTTCTAGGGTGAAGAGGCAATCGTCCAGCGCGTCTTTCCTCACATTGATGAACGCCTGGCTGCATTCACGCCCGTAATTCGAATCGAACATCAGATTGGCAATGCATTTCAGGTCTGGGATCACATCCGGGTGGACGAGCTCGACGACGTAATCCTCCGAGCTACGGCTCATGCTATCCCTGTGAGCCCCATCGTCAACGGACTCCTCCCCGAAGGAGATGATGGAGCTCCCGTCCACCGTGTCCTCTTCGGTGGAACGGAAAGACATGTGTTCCGGCTCAAAGGGAAGCCTGTTGTTGACCAGCAAATGCATAAACTCATCTTCCAGCCTAGTCATTGCAGTCTGAAGAACATCATGAACCCTCCTAAGAAGATCAGCCTCCCTACCGTCCTTCTCCGGGCATAAACTCTCCAGCTTTTCAGCTAGCTTTCGAGCTTCGTCCACGGATCTCAGATACCCGTAGGCCTCTTCGGCCCCAAAGTCCCATAACAGGGAAGGATTTCCATCCCAGCTCATGATCTTGGCCTGCAAAGCGTTCAGCTGCTCTTCATACTCACTAACCCCATCCTCCTGATGACCAACACAGTTGTCCTCTGTGTTGGCTCTAGTTATGGAGGCCAACTGAATGCCCAGATCTGCTAATTTCTTCCTGGCATCTTCTGTCAAATTCCTCTTCGCCCCCAACGAATTGGCGATGTGTTGCAGGGCGGCAATCAGGTTTTCTTCCTCTTCCATTACTGGCTGACAATCCCCCATACCATCAAAAGTTCAAAACCGAAGAACGCTAAATAATGAAATAGCCCAAAATCGAATCTTTAAGCTAAAGACCTAATCCAGAAAATCAAAACATATGATGCACATACACTGCTAAAATTTGTGGGTTCTGAAATTAAATCAGCTAGGAACACTTAAACACAGATAATATCAACAGCAGGGAAGTAGATAATCGGGAAGAACACGAAAAAGGGGAGAAATAACGGGAAAAGCTGCAAACCTCGTCATGGGGTTCGAGAAGAATTTCTCAGATTTCACTGAAAAGGATTACGAGCATCCAAAGTTAGACGGAAACGATGAGAATCTGGGGACGCGAGACAATAAAAGGGGGGGGGGGGGATTTGGATCAAATCGATCGATGAATGAGCAAATACCCAGAAGAAGAAAGGGAGCAAAAAAGCGAGGAGACGAAAGGAAGTAGCGGCAGAAAGATGGAGTCTTGTTCCTGGAAATACCGGCGACTGGAAGATGAAGATGAGGATGAAGGTTCGCGGGAAGTTGTGTGAACCACCCACGTTCCAATAATGGATGCGCAGCGCAGCTTGTCGCGACCCTCTGGGATTGCTTTATTGTTCCTCTGGAAATGGTTTTTATGTTTTCAACCCATGACCACATACATGCCTGAGTCTTGACGACCCTCCCCTTCCCCTGGTCACTGGCATTCTAGAATCGGGCCAGAATGGGACAAACTTTTTGAAAAAACTTGGTTGTTATCCATTCTTTTGAGCAACTGGCCCGGACTCGGGAGTAGAAAAAGTACAGCCTAACAATTAAGGCCTCTGTATTCGGGTTTTCGATTAGCGTTGAATAGTTGATGACACTATTCATTGGGTCAAACTTTATTTAATTTTATTTTTTATTTTCGTTAGTCATTAGATAAAATAATATAGTCATATCATCATTTTTTTTATATATCTTTTTGTCTAGTTTTTAATTATGTAATTTTTATTTTTTAGTTCTATACTATTTTCCATATAAAATGATTTTGAAATAAATTCAGTCAAACATTGTAAACCAAAACATGCAATTTAAATAGAGACGGAGGGAGTATGTTTTGGTATTCAAATACGAGTGCTCCTTAGGTGAACCTAAGCTCCACGCTATTTTAGATGAGTGTTACAAGTAAATGTTTTCTTTTCTAAAAACAAGTTCTTTTTTACATATTATTTTGCTAAAAAAATTATTAGGCCCCTCCGCAGCCGGCCGCCGCCGGTCGCTTCTGCTCTGCCGCCGTGCCGCTGCTGACCGATGGTTGAACGGTGTTGCTATTTTATTTTATATTAATTTTTTAATTTTAAAAATTTAAAAAATGGTGAATATTGTTGTTCAAAGTACTTGCTTTCTTTCCAGGTGAGCTTTGCATTCTCCATTGGTGAGCTTTGTAGGATAGTATGGTGAGCTTTGCGACATCTCACCGAAGCATGTCATCTCACTTGAGTCAATCATTTTGTGTGTGTGTGTGTAGTGCCTTTGCCTCTAAAAGATTGTCACATTTTGAATATTTGGTCAAATTGTGTCATTCTTTGAACACAAATTAAATATAGTTTAAAAAATTAAATATTATAAAAAGTTAATACTTCCTCCGGTTCTAAAAATTTTCTTTTTAAATTTTTTTTGTCAAACAATACTTTGACCACAAATTAAACATATTCTAAATAAATAAATGATATACAAATTTAATATATCAAAACTATATCTTAAAATGAACCCTCAAATTATAATGAAATATATTGTTGTCATAATTTATAATCAAAGTGTGTTATTGTTTGACTAGAAAAATCAAAATAAGAAAAATTTTTAAGATTGAAGGGAGTATTTCAAAACTATATTTTAAAATAAACCTTATTTTACTACATTTACATTATAACTTTTTTTTCCATAATTAATGATGAAAGAGTGTCACAATTTGATCAAAAAAATTGAACTGTTACAATCTTGGACGATGTATAATAACCATCGGTTCTCAGTTAATATAGGCAAAATAAAGATAGTTAATATAAATAAATAATTTTTTTTTAAAAAAAAGAACATCTAAAAATGATAATGAGAAAATAATAAAGGGAAATAGGGAATATTCAATTCTCCGAAAATTAAATTTTAAAAGGTGAAGGAAATACAATTGCAAGAAAAAAAACAATTGCAAAAGGTGAAGAAAAGTCAGTGTGGGTCACACATATTGAAACGATGTCCCTACTATTTACAGTCCCCGCTTTCCACTTGTGCGGAAGAGAAAAGTCAATTTAATTGTCTCGGGGATACTTTGCATTTATTTATTCAACAATAATTTACATTTCTTTTGAGTCTCAAATTGATTGTCTTATTTTTTCGTTTCAGTCTCTTTCAAAATATTTATTTTCTCAATCTCTAAAAAAAGTCACATCTTATTTTGCTGATAAAATAAAAAAAATTGTCGCATCTTATTTTGTAGAATTTTTATGAACTTTTGAATAATGTAATTTTTACCATTTATTTTCCTACCCATTTATAAATAAAATGAATTGAAAAGAGATGAAATTTTATGCATTTTTTTGAAATGTTGTAAGCAATTTGTACAGATGAAGTAATGCATAATATTTCTCTTTTTATAATCATATTCTAATTATTCACTTTATATTTTTTGACACTTTTCTTTAATTTTCTAAAATCAAACTGAAATCATTAAATTTGAACAAAAATAATATATTTATAGAGAATAGGGAGAAATATCTTTAACACTATGCTTCATTAATGAATTTATACGGAAAAGAAAAAATGATTTATTCTCGTTTCGTAGTATTTTTGTCTTTTCATTTTTTTGACCTTCAATTTTTTAATCATTTCCGCTCAAATCAAACAAGAAAACAATTTTCTTTTGTTTTTCCTTTTCAAATCCCTTCAACAAAGCATAAGAAAAAAGTGTTTTTGGAGATGGATAATTTAATTCTTTTGGAATGCAAATTTGTAATGTTGTCTTTTACTGAGTACTTTTTTTAGCGTTTAATTAAATTCACTCGATTATAGAATAATATACTAACAGGTCTTAATAATATTTTCTTTTTGTGCATATTCACCTTTTTTAAGGTGGAAGGGACAAATTAATCGATAAAATAAATAACTAACGTAATCCTTAGTCCATAATATTTAAAGCACATAAAAGATGTAAAAAATGACATATTTGCCACACTAGAGCTTGTCACTCCTCTCATGTACAATTTGGTGAAAGGGTTAAATATGTTTTTAATCCATGTAAAATAGGCGACAGTTGTTTTTTCGTCCATGTAAAATATTTATTGTTAAGTCATATTTAGAAAAGTTTTTATTTTAAAAATAGTCCTTAAAGATAATTTATACTTCTAATTTGTTAAGTGGTCACGTTTTTTTCTTATTTAACCTTTTAATTTTGCAATTCTAATTGCCTCCAACATAATTCTAATGCATAGGTTGGTCTTCTTCATCCAATTACAACTCCAATTTCTGAATTTTATTACACTATATTCTTAAAAAATTGGAAATTAGAGATGTAATATAAACAAGAATGTAATTTAGGGCATTCAAGTTATACCGGAGGTAGTAGAAATTAGAAATGTAATATTAAGATGTTTAGTAAGAAATAAATGTGATATCTCAATAAATTAGAAATGAAAAATTATGTTTAAAGACCATCTTTAAAATGAAAAAAATGGTAAGAATGATTGAACAAAAAATTATTTTACAGAGATGAAAAAAATGATGTATTTTACAAGGAGCAAAAACATATTTAGCCCTTGTTGAATTATAATTTTTTATTCATTAAAATGTACTCCGTATTTGTCAATTGTTCATGCTCTAATATTTGTAAGGTCTAAATAAAACATTCCCGGCCCATTATTTAAGTGCAAAAGTGGGATGTCCGGCCCGTTTCTCGACATGGACCGATCGGACGCGTTCAAGATTGCTCGCACCTGTCTTCAAAATTTAAGCCCCATTGAAAGCAAGCCAAACATTCATCTGGGCCACTTAAGACACACATAAGGATCCCACTCTCACATCAAACTTGTATTGGGCCAAGATAGAATGACCCGAAAGAGAGATATAATACTCATGTAGGAGTTTTTAGACCCTACGAGGCCCAAGCTCTGGGAAAAACTCAAATCTTAAGTTTTTATATATAGGCTTTTCAAATTAATTTATTTTTTAATGAAGAAACATAAAAACATTGTTATTTTTATACTTCGGGGTAACATATTTTGTATATATGTTCGGTTCGAGATTTTTCGATATGGGAAGTTACCTCGTACCGATCCCAAATACAAGATCGACCATTCAGTTCGGTACGGTACGGTTCTTTTTTGGTATGTTATCGGTTCCGTATTTTTCAATTTGATAATCTCGGGTTTTTCGGGAAATTTCGGTACTGATTAGGTACTTGTTCACCCACATTCTACTCATTTCCCTCTATTAATAGGAGATTTTGGCAGGAAATCTCGACATAGGTCTGTAGTAAGAACCACTTTGCAATGGTAGCCGGCGGCCGACACATACCTCAGACGTTGCCTCTCCAGTAAATAATCATACGATCGTCATGATTGGTGCCTTGGTGGTTCGTCACCGAGTTGATGGCCCAAACTCGAGCAGGTCTCGCTCGGTAATCGTTAGATGAATGAGCAGTCCTTTACAATCCCAAGTCTCCCCCGACTTAGATGTGCCCGACCCCGAAGATCCGTCGAGTCTGGGTACACTCGGTCCCAAAGATCCGTCTAACCGGTGCTTGAGATTGTTGCGCCTGGTGAGGACCGCGGCCATTTTGGGGACACCCCTTCATCATGGGCCCTCATCATAAACCGATTGGGCTTTATCCCAGCAACTCTCTTCTCCCTTAAAAGATTGTCACTGTTTAACTTTTTTGTCTAACTGTTGATCTTTTGACAACGAATTTAATATAGTTCAAATTAACTAATTATTATAAAAATTTAATATTTCAAAATTATATTTCAAAATAAACCTTATTTCACTAAATTACATTATAATTAAATGTACATTTTCATAATTCGTGATCAAGAGATGTCATAGTCAATCTTTAAAGGACCCACATCAAGAATAATGATATGTGTCAGTAAAACACAATTATATATCACACTTGAAGTTACTATAGTTTTCCCCAAATGCATTAAGGTCCCGTTTGATACAAGGATTTCAAAATATGGAATTGGAATTGAGAACTTCATTTCCAATTCTCATGTTTGGTAGCACAAAAATTACGTGGATTTGGAATTGGTAGTGCAAAAAATGAATTGGAATTGGTGAATTCAATTCTATGCAATTGAATCCCCGTGAAATTTTAATTCCAAATCAATTCCAATTCTATCAATTTCGTGTACCAAACGGACCCTAACAAAATTTGATGTGAAACCTAACCATATATTTCCAGGCCCATAGAATTACCCACCGACCCAACAATATTTAACAAGTTATCATCAACCATGTTTTGGTCGAGAACAAATACAGCTAGCAAATGAAACAATAGCAGTAAATAAAAATGGTTTCACAATCAAACGAACCCTATGTTCCCTTGGGAAGAGGTTCCCCTCTCAAGAAGGAACTCAACAACTGCAAAGCTTCCATGGGCTTGAACAATGGCACTTCGTGTCCCGCCCCGCGCACCGTCGCGAACGTTAG